TCTTGAAGTGTCTAGAATGAGCTGGGACAGTGGTACATCCCCTCAACTTCACAGCTGCTGTCTTTCAGATTCAAGTGCCATTGTGGTGTATAAAAGAACCTTAATTACTACACTGTATTGTGTAGTTAGAGTTTGAGTGAGGCTTACAATAGTTAATGGCTTTTTAGAGAGTTTCACAGGGGAAAGCTAAGGAAGATTGCTTCTACATGGAGTCTGTTTTATAAGAGTGTCTACTGATAAAGCATGTGATTGTGTTGCTTGTTTGGGTATAGGCTTATGGACTTTGTGAAATTGTACTTTAACCCTTAATAGGATTATAATTTACCAACAATGAAGTTAGAGGAAAGAAGCACTGAATTGAGTTTGAAATTGATTATGCCAATAACTTTTGTGTGGAACAAGTTTAAGAAATATAACCTAATCAAAAAATATCTAATCTAATCAAATCAAGACAACATGCTGCTGGACCTCTGTGCACTCATTATTATTTAAGATGTCTTATTTACTATTTAACTTCTTTTGATACAATTCTCATACTTCGAGTTATTTTTTTTTAAATGTAATATGGCACCAAGGAAATTAATTAGACATGAACCACTGTTGTGGCTGCTTAGCTTGAATAATGTCTGACAGCCTCACTGTTCTATGTGGGCTTTTAGAAATTAGTTCAGCCCTCTGAAATCTAGAATTGGACAGAAGCTACCATCCTTCTTCTGAACTAGGGAGAATGTTGAGTAGAACCTTTTGTTTTCAGCTGTGGGGTCTACTCTTTTGATTGTGCCAGTGTCCAAGAGGGAACAAACTTCTTGGAACAGAGTAGCAAACTCGATGGTGTCTGAAATTGCCTAGGCCCCCAGCCCCAAAAAGTGGGCTGATGGCAGAACGGAAGTTCGTACCCTTGAAACACTGTCATCAGGACCCGCCGGTCCTGTTGCCGAATAAGCAATATTCTTGGTGAAATGAGTATATGTAAATTTAAATGTGGCCTATGATCCAGGCTGCAGTGATTTGAGGGTGCCACATGGTCAGTCCATTTGGCTGTACTGGTTTATAGTTTCTGAGACCTGTGTTCTTCTCTCTAGGCCCAAAGAACAACCTTGGCACATAGGATAGGTTTCACAAGGTTGATTTACATGTGTCTGGCAGCACGGACTGTGTCTTTCATAAATCAGACTGACAGAGAGCTGCGGACCCCAGGTGCAGTATAGACGATGGTACTAGCCCTCCCTAGAGATTGATGAGAGCTGGTAATTCAGATTAATTTTCAAATGTTACTGAAGTTGAACATCATGGTTCCATTTTTCATTTATTTGCACATGATGCCATACAGGCTTCATGCCCAGTATTTCCGGCATAGGCTCTGGATCCACTGCAACCCGGACCATGAAAAGGCTGAAGATGAATGAATGAACAATGTTAACATGCTCCTTGATTCAACTTTATCTGAGCAACATTAAAGATCAATATATACTGTATACTGTGTATGGGTTTTTTGGGAATTACATTTTTTAAGCTTTGAGGAGGATATGAATGTATTTATCAACAATTTTCTTTCTTTGGCCTTTCTTTCACACCAGGTATAGTGGGTATGTGGTCCCTGGCTACCCTTGCATTCGAGAGATACTTTGTGATCTGTCGTCCTCTGGGAAACATCCGTCTGCGGGTTAAACATGCAGTACTGGGACTGCTGTTTGTCTGGACCTTCTCTTTTATCTGGACCATCCCACCTGTACTGGGCTGGAGCAGCTACACAGTCAGCAAGATCGGCACCACCTGCGAACCCAACTGGTGAGAGTGCACTACATTTCTGCTAGCATGCTCTACACTAAACAAGAACCAAAACACAAACTGAGACCAGCCAGGCTCAGCTGAGCTGTACAATGACGCACTTAAATGTCATATACATTAAGAAAAATATGGCCACTTAAATGAACAGGGAACACAAACAGGGAACACATACAGTGCTCTACATTCCAGCATTGCAGACTATAAAATATATCAAGGTATAAGCAGTACTGTGTATGTCCTGTGTACAGATATAGAACCTCTTCCTTATTATAAAACCTTTTTGGAATAAGTAAGATGAACTTATGCTCATTGTGCACTTAAGTACTTATTTTGATATAAATCACTTATTCACACAGATTATGAATGTAGAAAGTTAGAATAGCCGCACTGCTATAAATATCCAAGACCCCTTTGGTGTGAAAAATTATTTATAGCACCTGGAGGTTTGCAGATAAGTTAGTGAACAGGGCTTGAGTAATGGTGCTCTGACTTTTGGCTGAGATGCCAGTCTGATGTACTTTGTACATTTTTCAAAATGGGTGCTTTATAACTGTTTTTAAATAAATGCAGGGGTGGACAAATCAGTATCCCAGGTGCCTGGGACCAGCAGATATTGTGTCCAGCATATTATTTTTAAAATTCATAGTTAGTAGTTTCATCAACCAGAAAGAGAAAAGTCCTATTTTCTATTGATTTTTCCAAAACAAAAATTTCATTTGATGTGTATGTTTAAACGTAATGCGCTTCATCTTGATACTGTATCCATGTCACATGCTTCCAAATCCCACTCCCTGCTGCACTGCACACATTGGCTGAAACACAAGCTACCTTTTACTAGGTGGATGATTTGGCATGCATGAATAACAGATGATCTTTTCAGAATCAGGAACACATTCCAGCATTGCAGACTATAAAATGTGGAAAACCGAGCAAAATAAAGTGCAGCATGAAGCTGTTATATAACTCTCCTGCTGACTACATGCTGTCACCTCATGGTTAAACATCAAGAGCAAATAAAGATGCTAGCCAGAGTTAAATAATTTTTTATGAGGAGAAAACACTGCAGCTGAAATGTTCACCAATGACTCTTTTGTTGAGAGTGCAAACACAGTGTGCTATATTACAAACTTTGTTGAGAAACGCTAATAATCATATGCTCATTCATTTCTCTTAGTTTGTATTAATACACTCACTTAGCTAACTACCACACAATGCCTTATATTACATGGGCTACCACTTTTTAACCAAGTCATTTAGGTTTCTAAGCCACCAAAACATGAGACTGGGCAGCACATTGGAGATTTTATTTGTGTGTTGGGCCAACTAATGGATTTATGATTTGTCCACCCTTGAAATGTCATGCTACAATCTATAAAATGCGACAGCAATAGACAAATGCTTGCTATAAAACATCTAGCAATTTTTGACATCAGTTGAATCACCTATGGCCGAGAAGGCAGGGCTGTACTGAAGAAGTAAATTTGGTGAAATATCTTGCTCTATTTCTTAGAACGGTGTCACAGAACATACTTAGTGCCTCAAAGCTCTAATGGAATCCAAAGCATTCAAATCCATTCCAATCCAATCCAAATCCATTCACTTTCAGCTATATTTGTGAATCCTATATCTGTAAAGAGCACTCTTTTGTTTGGCCAAGAATGTTGCTGAAATTCTACAAATGTCACATGGGGACATGGGGAAAAAACATGCTTTTGTCATACTAGAGTTCAGCAACCTGTTAACTCTCACCAATCCACTATGTTGTGACAAAAATAAATCACTAATAACAACAATAACAACAACAACAAAAATCTCACCTCTTCACCTCCCGTTCTTTAATAGAGGCTTGGTTTGGTCTCTCAACAGGTACTCTGGTGACCCTCACGACCACACTTTCATCATCACTTTCTTTCTCACCTGTTTCATCCTGCCTCTGGCTGTCATCATCGTGTGTTACAGCAAGCTGCTGCGCAAGCTGAGAAAGGTTAGTCTGGTGCTTCTGCTGGAGAAATATACAGTGTCAGACACATTGTCTTGGATTAAACTGCATGCCATTACTCATCTAAAATATTTCAGTGAATTATATGCAATTTAAGACAGTCATACATTACATATCCTATGTTCTATTCATAAGCAATTTGTCACCTTTATGCTAAGAATAGTTAACCATTTTTCTAATGTCTGAGCTTGATGGTAGACTTGTCTGGTTTACCATTGAATGATCAATGTGTTTGCTTTGAATCCCACATACTAGTGTCTCTGTGCAGGTGTCCAACTCTCATGGCAGGTTGGTGAATGCCCGGAAGCCTGACCGGCAGGTGTCTCGTATGGTGGTGGTGATGATTGTAGCCTTCATGGTGGCCTGGACACCATATGCACTGCTCTCTTTCATCGTTACTGTTCACCCCACCATCTACTTAGACCCAATATTGGCTGCTGTTCCCGCTTTCTTTGCAAAAACTGCTGCCGTCTACAACCCCATCATCTACGTCTTTATGAACAAACAGGTACAGAAGAAGCTAAATGTTTGAACCTTTTAGGATATGTTCAATGTTTTGTATAGAATTACTCTGAATAGATTTAAGGTGTGATATAAATGCAATTATACCACAGCACTGGTGAATTCTCAAATCTGACATCAACAGTAAATATCATCAGTACTGGGGTGTACGCGGTGTGGCTGTGCTGAGTTTGGCTTCCATCTATGTGACAGCAGGTTGGAAAAAATCACAGCATGTTGGTGTAAGATTGAATTCTGAAGGAAACCAAGTAGAGAGGTTATTTTTTTCTTCTTTCTCCAGCCACCTTTGTTAGATGTTTGCTCCTTCCTAAATAAAACATGGGTCATGAATAAAACACAATGTAGAAGTGAATATCACCCATTTTCCTATGCTGCTCTCTGAGCAGTTTTTATTTCAGAATAAACACTAGCTGGCTTATTGTCAATGTGAATTTTATTGCCACCGTGGTGAATAAGCCTTAATAAGCCAGTTTTATTTGATATGCACACAAGATGTTATAGGAAGCCCAGTACTCAGGCTTTCAGTTGCAAGAGAATCAAGGAGGAAGAGATTCATTGGTTATGCTATGATTACTTTATTCTAAAGTGGTACTCATTGTAATAGTTAATAATGATCATTGGACTAAAATGCTTTCGCGAAAAACCCTTCATTGGTGTCTTCCCAGTATTTTCAAACTGTAAAAAAACCGGGGCAGTCGTGGCCTAATGGTTAGCGCGTCGGACTTACAACCCGAAGGTCATGGGTTCGAGTCCCGGCGCTCTGAATGACCAGTGCTCTCTTCCACCCTCAATACCACGACTGAGGTGAGACCCTTGAGCAAGTCACCGAACCCCCAACTGCTCCCCGGGCGCCGCAGCAAAAAAAAAAAAAAAGGCTGCCCACTGCTGTGTGTGTGTGTGTGTACTTGGGTGGGTTAAATGCAGAGCACAAATGCAGAGCCACATGTCACTTCACTAAAAGGAACGTTAGATACCACTCTATCCCTTTAAAGAGATGATATCTACTACAGTATTGTACAAGTCTTAAGCGCATGTAAAGACATTCTGCAAAGCAAAGATAGCTTAAAAATAATGAAACAAAATGTTTCTACATATAAGGATGATAAGTAAAGGAGCAGTAAACATTATGAAAATTTGTGTGACCACCTGTTGCCTTTAAAACAGCATCAGTTCTCTCAGTTTGATAGGAAAAACAGCTGCTAGGTTTTTACAAGCATATTGGAAAACCTGTCTCAGATCTTCTGGAGACTTTGGCTGTGACACTTGCTTCTGTTTATAAAATTTGCTTTTTTTAACTGAGGTAGTAATGCAGGAGACATAAAGTACAATAAATTACAAAATACAAAATGTATATTTTCAAAAATTGTATATTTAAATTTTTTTTAAATACATAAATTTTTTAAAAATAACAATTAAAAAAAAAATTATATTTAAAAAAATTGGATTTCGTAAGACTTTTGCAAAGTACCTTTGCAAAAGCATCTTTTATAAGGTATCTGTTAGAGTCTGATGAAATGATTTGTAGTTCCATCACATCATCCTGCAGAATTTAGTCCTGATCCTTATTTTTCACACCGGTGTCTAATACTCAGAAGCTTCTAGCTGTTTTAATAATTTGACAAGTATTTATGTAGTCTGTGTTTTCTGTGGCACTCTAAAAGGACAAGGTAGGTATATACGGTACCTCTGGCTTGTACCTACAACAATGAAAATAACATAGTCTCATCATAGTCAATACATGAAATTATGATGTTTAAAGAAGAACTGTTCAAATTAAGGATTATTGACTGATCAACCTTTTATGGGAAAAAACCCCCAACAACATTTACATTATTAGTAATTACATACAGTAATTGCTTCCAATAGATCTTAGGCTGCAGAAGAAAGGCTTCATGTGGTTAAGATTGCCCCAGTTAAGGAACCCTGCTGCTAAATGGGTTAGTGTGTTTATATGACACCAAGCAATAAAAATAAACTTCCTCCTAAAATGCAGACATACGTAACTAGATATAGAAGACTTTCTGATTTTGAGAGGTGGTACTGTGTAGAAACACCTCTCAGACCCTTGATCAAAGAACAGCTTTCTTATTTTCTTAATATCTTAAGATTTCTTATTGTTACTGTTCTTCAGTTTGACAGGGCAAATCCTATTAGAGTCACAAGGCTATATCTATATTCTCGACCATGGAGTAGGACCTTCAAATGTCTGCGTCCTTTTTTGACAGCACACACTGTAGTTTTAGAACTAACACATGAAGCGTAAACTATAGTATGTATAAACTGTTTAGATTATTCATCATGTTAATTAAAGTAGCAGTTTGTAATTTTTGGGAGCAATCTGCTAAATGTAAGACAAATTACAGTTCATGTTAAAACATAAAGTCCTTATTCATTCTCATTCAACTCCATACATTTTAAAATTTTGTAGTAATACTAATTACCTCTTTTAAATCAATAATGATTTTTTTTAAATGTTGCTTTGTGACAGATATGCATAAGCTTATGTTTCACTGATTTGTTCACCTGTTGGTTTTAGATGGTTTTTGAGATGTAATTGGGCTGGAAATTTTGCTGAAAACACTCAACCCTCTCAAAATGATACAACCCCTGGCAAAAATTATGGAATCACCACACTTAGAGGATGTTCACCCAGCTTTTTTACTTTATAGCAAACAAACAAATCACAGATATGACACAAAAAAGGTTTTGTTCAATAGCTTAACATTCTGGCTTTGTGAAACATACATAAAAAAAAATTCACTGACATTTTTTTT